GGTTTGGCTGGGGGATGACAGGGCAGTGTCACCCAGCACTGAGGACACAGTGAAAGTGCTCACTGGCACCTCGCTCACCAGTGCCAAGAAATGTTGCTTTTCTGAAGAACTGGCCAAGATCCCGTGGCAGATTCTGAATTTTGGTTTTCTTGCCCTTCAGGACACAGCACCAACGTGGGGGCAATCGTGTTCCACCCCAAGGCCACCGTGTCCCTGGACAAGAAGGACGTGAGCCTGGCCTCGTGTGCAGCTGATGGCTCTGTCAAACTCTGGAACCTGGAAAGGTCAGAACTTGTTCCAGATGTGCACAGCTGCAGCATTGCTGTGCTGGGGTTCATTCCATGTTCCTCCATCCTACCATCCTCCTGCCAATATGACCTTTTCTTGTAGCTACCCCAGTGCACTCCCTGGCCTCAGTATGTGCCACCCTCTTCAGCAGGAAGAGAGATCACCCTGATTAGGGAGCCAAGGTGAGGGAGATGATCTGAAAGGGATTGAGACAGAATTGCTGCTGGGCATTGCTGAACTGCTGGGGGTGATGGATGGAAGGTCTGGGGACTGTTTCATTCTAGCATCTCACTTAGGAGAAAATTGCCCCTCTTGGATATTAGTAAATGAATTTTTGAGTGGTTGGAAAGCACCAGGATTTGGAGAGGGATTGACCAAATACACAGCCAGGCACAAAAACTTCTGTCTGTCCTGCAAACAAGTGGTTGTCACTGCACAGAGGAGCTCTGGGAGATGGGCAGCACCTCTCTCAAGCCTGGGAAGAGGAGAAGGGTTCAGGTACTGAGCCTCAGCATCACCTGATTGAGAAGTGGAGCCTGAGGGCTCCTGGGAAGGGCACGCAGCTCCCAGAGCCACAGTTGTTTATCCTTAGCTGAAAATCACAGTTTGTAACAGCAAAAATGCCCCTGTGCAAAGGGACAGGGGGTTGTTAGGCTCATGTGACCACATCTCTTAATTAACCTGTTGGAAAGAAACTTCACTGCTGTTCAGATCATGTGTGAATGCTCCTGACCTGCTGCCTGTCATTCTGGGAGAATAAATATTCCCTCCATCCTGTCTGCCTGCATCCTGCAGAACAGCAGGAGTTGCTGCAGTTCAGGATGTTGTGTTCTCAGAACTCCCTGCAGTTCAGGTAGTTTGTGGTTTGTTTCTGCACTTCCAAAAGTGCTAATGACAAGGGCCTTGTTAAGTTTCATTAATAATCATCATCATCCCAGGAGAGCTTTACAACCAACAGGAGGTGTGGAGAAAGGGTTTCACTCAGAGCTTTGAGTGTGACCCAGAGGCAGAGTTCAGAGTCATTGGCTACAGCTCTGATGTTCCTGCCTGGTTTGATTTCATCAGCAGAGCTTCTGCTGCCATCACAATGTGTGGGCGAAGGCCTGGCTGGAGCCAGACTCCTGTGGTCAGTGGCCAATGGTTTGTTGTGTGTTTCAGTGATGAGCCGGTGGCAGACATCGAGGGACACAGCATGAGAGTGGCCCGCGTGATGTGGCACCCCTCAGGGAGGTTCCTGGGCACCACCTGGTACGGACACCTGGGCATTGGCTTCCAGAAGTGACCATGGGCTGCCCAGCTGGTGGCCCTGTGCTGCCAGGGCTTGTCCACAGCAGGGCAGGGCTCGGCCATTGGTGACCACAGCTGGGCTGCTGCGGTGTCAGTGACAGCAGGTCGTTGGGATTCCTTTCTCTGCCCCTGTGTGAGACACTCTTGGTCTCAGGTGGGAATAAAATGCTCCCAGAGTTGGTGAAATATCCTGTTATTCTCCCTGGAGTTACATGGAGACCAGGGGAAATTACCTCAAATTACACCAGGGAAGGTTTAGATTGGATACTGGGGGAAAGGGTGGCCAGGCATTGGCACAGGCTGCCCAGGGGTGGAGTCACCATCCTGGAAGTGTTCAAAAAACACCCAGATGTGGCACCTGGGGATATGGGTTAGTGGTGACTGTGGTGGTGCTGGGTTAACACTTGGACTCCATGGTCCTGGAGGGCTTTTCCAGCCTGAGTGGCTCTGGTTTAAGGAGTGCTTTGTCTCGCAGCTACGATCACTCGTGGCGCCTGTGGGACCTGGAGGCGCAGGAGGAGATCCTGCACCAGGAGGGGCACAGCAAGGGCGTCTACGACATCGCCTTCCACACCGACGGCTCCCTCGCCGGCACCGGGTGAGCTGCCCTTGCCTCTGCACGGAGGGCTTGCTGTGACCAGGGATTTCTGCTGGGGGAATGGCTTCCCACTGCCAGAGGGCAGGGATGGACGGGATATTGGGAATTAGGAATTGTTCCCTGGGAGGTGGGCAGGCCCTGGCACAAGGTGCCCAGAGCAGCTGTGGCTGCCCCTGGATCCCTGGAAGTGTCCGAGGCCAGGTTGGATGGGGCTGGGAGCAGCCTGGGACAGTGGAAGGTGTCCCTGCCCATGGCCAGGATGATCTGTAAGGTCCCTCCCAGCCTAGCTCAGTGTGTGATCCTGTGCTTGCAGAGGCCTGGATGCCTTTGGCCGGGTGTGGGACCTGCGCACAGGCCGCTGTATCATGTTCCTGGAAGGGCACCTGAAGGAGATCTACGGGATCAACTTTTCCCCAAACGGGTAAGGAGGGAGCTGGCACTGATGTGGGAGCTCTGAGTGTAAACTTGACTCCCTAAACACTGCTCTGCCTCCCCTCATTGGCAGGTACCACGTGGCCACGGGCAGTGGGGACAACACCTGCAAGGTGTGGGACCTGCGGCAGAGGAAGTGCATCTACACCATCCCTGCCCACCAGAACCTGGTCACCGGCGTCAGGTTTGAACGTGAGTCCCTGCTGCTCCCTAGCCCTGCCCCTCCAGCAGCTCACATCCACACCTGCAGCTCAGCAAGGCCTGTGCTGGTGAGCAGAGATGTGTTTTCATTGCAAGCCTCACTTCTCCCCTTTTCTCCTCCTGTGCAGCCAACCACGGGAATTTCCTGCTCACGGGTGCCTATGACAACACGGCCAAGATCTGGACCCACCCTGGCTGGTCCCCGCTGAAGACACTGGCGGGGCACGAGGGGAAGGTGATGGGCCTGGACATCTCCCTGGATGGGCAGCTCATTGCCACCTGCTCCTATGACAGAACCTTCAAGCTCTGGACAGCCGAGTAGCTCAGAGGGGCCGGTTATGGACTGGGACGGGGACATTAATGACTTCTGGTTGCTTTTTTATATTAAAGAAAAAAACAGGAATCCAGTGTGTTAACAGCAGCTGCAGTCGTGGCTGCTCTGGAGTTTGGGTGTGTTTGAAGCACCAGTGTTGGCCCAGGCGTGGTTGGTGCCAAGTCTTGTGTTTTCCCACATTTTGGACTGTTTTTATACTGCAGGTACCACTGCTGTAATTTTGATCAATGTACTTCTACTCTCCCTTCCAAGTTCAGCTCCCAGGTGTCCTCCAAACATTTGCAGTAACCATAGAGCATCTCAGGTTTGGTGTGTGGTTCAGATTCTGTTACTGCCCTTCTCACCTTCCTTTTTGGTAGGTGTGTGAGAGAGCTCAGAGGGAGAGGCACGTGGTGCCCTCTTTCCCCTGCCTCCACACAGGTGTCTCTGGATGGAGATCTGCATCCCCCTGGATTCACTTACAGTAGATGACCAAGGCCAGGGAATCTCTTTTTCCAGGTACCACCTTGTGTCTTACTCCATGAGTTGTCTCATGGACTGGGTGTTGCAAATCCATTTCAGCATCTCATGTTTAGGGTTTGCTGTGTGAGGTCACTCAGTGTAGGATTGTCTTGTTCTGCCCTGCCCTGGGGAGAGCTTTTGTACTTGTTTGTTGTTTAAATTGAGGTTTTGCAAATAATGTGTCCTGGAAGATCTAAACAGGTTTTGAATATGTATCCTGGGTTCTGTGTCTCACAAGGAATTGAGAAATTACAGGAATTTCACAATGCATAGTTTGATTTCTGCTGATGTACAAAACAGCTGAGGAGGGGTGAGGTCATTTGGTTTGTTCAGCCTGGAGAAGGGGAGGCTGAGGGGAGATTTCTCAGGGTCTGCAGCTCCTCCTGAGGGGCAGCTCTGATCCCTGCTTCCTGGGACAGGGACAGGAGCCAGGGAGTGGCTGGAGCTCAGGGCAAGGTTCTTCCCCCAGAGGGTGCTGGCACTGCCCAGGCTCCCCAGGGAATGGGCACGGCCCCGAGGCTGCCAGAGCTCCAGGAGCCTTTGGACAGCGCTGCCAGGGATGCCCAGGGTGGGCTTGGTGGGGGGTCTGGGCAGGGACAGGGGCTGGGCTGGGTGATCCTGGTGGGTCCCTTCCTGCTCAGATGAAAACTTTCAGGAATAAGGAGAAGACAGATTCACCTCCCTGTTATCATCTGGAGAGCAGCTGTGTGTTCCTTGGGAATATGAGCACAGTTCCAGGGAAAATACGATGGAATGAGAGGCCAGCAACTAACACAGGAGAATTACTTCATTGCAGTCTCCTCTGGTCCAAGCCCAGGTCCAGCTGTGTGTGCTCAGCCTGGTGCTCAAATATCTGTCCCTTGGTCCTGGTGTCTCATCTCCTCCCTCTGTCCAGCCCGTGCCTCTGGCTGCAGGGAGGCTTTGTAAGGAAAATGCAGGAGGCTCAGTCAGGAGCAGAAGCTTGGCCTGAAGGCTCCCAAGGCTTGGCTTTTCTCCTGCACAGCTCTGATGCCTCCCTGTCACCCACAAGCCAACCAGCAACTCCCCCAGCCCTGCTGGCATCCCCCACAGGCACAGAGTCCCGGCTGCCCACTGTCAGGGCAGCTCTTGGGGGTCACATCCCCTCCTGGGACAATCTGTGACGGGGGTTCCGGTGCTCAGAACGCTGCCACCTCCAGGGACAGTGTCTGACGGGGGTTCCGGTGCTCAGAACGCTGCCACCTCCTCCAGGGACAGTGTCTGACGGGGGTTCCGGTGCTCAGAACGCTGCCACCTCCAGGGACAGTGTCTGACGGGGGTTCTGGTGCTCAGAACGCTGCCACCTCCTCCAGGGACAGTGTCTGACGGGGGTCCCGGTGCTCAGAACGCTGCCACCTCCTCCAGGGCCGGCTCTGCGCCGCCCCTCACGCGGAGCACGTGGATGCCGGAGTTGGAGCTGGCGCAGAGCAGGGTGGAGCTGTCGCAGGCGGCCAGCGAGGCCAGCGGGCCCGAGCCCTCGAGGCACAGCGTGGCCAGGCAGGCTGCAAGGGAAGGCACAAGGGAGGGATGCTGGGTTTGCTGAGATGAGGCAGGGCCACACCAATCTCTCACCTCCAGGTTCTGCTTGCCCGAGGTGGGTGAGCTGCTGTCTGGATCCACACTTCAACACCTTGGGATGTGCCCCTGGCAGAGAGACTCACCCCTGTGCACTGCCCAGTCAGGCTGTGGCTGACAGGGATCCAGACTGGGGTCAGGCTCTGCCCCTTCCTGGGAGAGGAAGCAGGGCTGGATGGACCTAGAGCCCCCACTGGGCAGAGCTGTAGGATGTGCGTGGAGCCATTTCCAACCCCCCTTTTTCTCCCAAATTTCTTAGTTTTCCTAAGGGCTGTGCTACGCTTCACACGGTTTTGATGAATCTCCAAGAGGGAAAGAGAAATAAGATTTACACAGGAGCCTTTCTGTTTGTGTCTATTATTAAACCCCCTGAGACAATTTGTGCAGAGACCCTAGCCCCAGGCTGAGCTGCAAACAGAGCTGCACTTGGCCTGGACCCAGAGGCAGCTGCCTCTCCTGGTTACCTGCACCCTTCCCAGAGCAGCTGGATTATGGCTCACCCAGCTGGGAAGGCAAAAGGATCAAAGCTGCTGCCACCTCACAGCCATCCTGGATGCAGAGACACCAGGCAAAGACACAGGTAAGAGAACAGAAGGTCCTTCTCTGCAGGAAAGCCTCAGGTTTCTATTTTCATCCCATCTTAAATAAGTTCCCTTGGAGAGGGGCTTAGCCCCGGGGAGTGTCTAATGCTGTGAGCCTGAACAGCTCCCAAGAGGTCTCTGCCTGCAGCACAAGGGTTACTAAGAACCTGCTGCCATGGCAGGGCTTGGCAGGCAAACAAACCCCTTTGTGTCCAGCTCAGGGAGGGACTCACCCTCATCACCAGGTTTAACCCCAAAATGCCCATGATTCCCCTTCAGGAGGACAACCAAAATGAGGGTGTTGGCTGATCAGCTGTCTGTCCTCCAGTACAAATCCTATTCCTTACAACTTTCTGCCTGTACCTGCAGAAATCTCTGGAGTTCACCTGTTCTTTTTTCTTTTTATCATTTGTCTTCATGGCTTAACTCGGATGTATCTTTAAAAGCTGCCTGGTAATTCTTCCTTTTAGCTGAGGGGAGATCTCTGTCATCTCTGACATGCAGCTCCTTCACTTTGTTGAGCCCTGGGTTTGTTCCAGGGCATTTCTCCACCCTGCCCTGCAGGCTTGGAGTAAATTCCAGAGATTGCAGCAGTCACCCTGCCCATCACCAGGAGCAGACAGAACTGGGGGAAGTGGGTTTGTCATCCAGGAGAAAGGAACACGGAGTGGGCAGGAGCCTCCCCTACCTGCAGTGCCTTGGTCCCAGACCTTCACTGTGCTGTCGCTGGACGATGTGGCAATGCTGGGGGCGAGCGTGGGGCCCCGGGGCAGGAAGACACACGAGGTGGTGGTCTGGAAATGTCCTTTGTACTCACACACTCGGCCCCTGGTCTGCCTCAGGTCCCAGAGCTGCAGAAAAGAGGCAGTGGTAGAGCCCCAGCTCTGCCAGCACGGAGTTGTTTTACCAAGACAGGAAGGTGGGCTATGATAAAAGAGCTCCTCACCAATCCTCAGAGTGCCATGGCTACTGCCCTTGTCCCTGCTCATGCTCACAGTCCTGGAGAACATCAAAGCCCAAAGGATTTTCAACACTGGTGACTGAGGACATGGCATGAGGACACCCAAGAGAGCCAACAAGCTAAGACTGTGCAGGCAGATAATAAATGTCACCCTGCCCACCCTGGCATGGGATTGTTTCATCCTCCTGATCCTCACACACAGGGCTGAAAATCTGCAGGGCCTGGTTTGGAAACACCTGGAGCAAGGGATCCCTTACAGGCTTTCTGCAAGAACCTTGTGTTCCTCAATGGCATCCATTGTCTTTTTCCCCTGTGTGTTTTACTGAAATGAAATTCCAGACTCATTTGGGTTTGAAGGAACCTCAAAGACCACCTTGTTTCAACTCCCTGCCATGGGCACAGATGCCACTCACTACATCAGGGTGCTTCAAGCCCCATCCAACCTGGCCTTGGACACTTCCAGGGATGGGTAAATCCCGTGGTTTAATCTGGAGGAATAACTGCTGATATTTTCCAAGCAGAACTTCCCAAAGGGACAGGCAGGAAGACACCAGCCCAAGGCCCAGGCAGTGGGAGCACTCAGACCCTCGAGCAGTGACGTGCTGCTCTCCCTGTCTGCCACGGGCGTGGGAGGGAAGGCAGCAGGAGCCCCGGGCCCAGCACTCACGGTGGCCTCGGCGCCGTGGCCGGCGGAGCCGCTGCTGCTGCTGAGGCAGTACCGCCCGTCCTGGCTCACGTCACAGCACGTCTGGATGTGCTGCTTGGCTGGGAATGTGTGGGCCACCTGCAGCTCCCGGCTGTCCCACACCCTGCAGGGAACAGCAGAGGGCAGGGGGACCCTGAGGCATCATCACCACGATGGTTTCCCTCTATGCCCTCCCGCACACCTGGGCTGTGCCCACAGCTCTGTCCTGGCTGCTCCCAAACTCTCCCTGTGTCCCTACATCCCTGCATTTATCCATGCTGGATCACTCTCCAGCTTTCTTTCTTACAATTTCTCCTTTTCACCTGCAGTCACCAGCCAGTGCTGCTCCCAGCCCCTGTCCCTGGCTGGAGGTCACACTCCAAGGCTCAGGTGAGCTGGCAGGTGGCTTTTAGCCACACCAGAAGTGGTCATGACAACCAAACCCACAACAGCCTCGGGCTGAACCTCCCTGCTCTCTGGCCACAGGGAGAATTTACCTGGTGGTTTTATCCTCTGAGGTCTGGATGACATAAGGCTCCCCAGGAACCCAGCACAGGTGTGTGACCTGTGGAAAGATGAGCAGGAGTCACCTCTGTGTGCAGCCTAGGCTGTGTCTGCCAGAGGATGGAACCACTGAGCTCCCATCCTCTCCCTCCTCCTGCTGGGTTGGGAGCTGGAAATGTTGGATAATGACTTTTTCTGCTCCCCTGCCAGGTCCAGTCCCAGTGGGATTGCTGGGAGGTGCCAGCAGCAGGACACAGAGCCATGGAGCAGGGACAGCACAGGCAGCAGGGGGTGGTACCCACCCCAGCCCTGGGCTGGTACAGGAGGGAATGCAGCCCCACTGCACAGGGCTTGTTCAGCCAAGAGAAAAGGAGACTCAGGGGGATCTTCTGGCTCTCCACAACTCCCTGACAGGAGGGTGCAGCCAGGTGGGGGTCAGCTTCTGCTCCCAGGGAACAAGCAATGAGAAGAAATTGCCTCAAGTTGTGCCAAGGCAGGTTTAGGTTGGATAATGGGGAAAAATTCTTTGCTGAAAGGGTGGTCAGGCATTGTCACAGGCTGCCCAGGACAGTGGTGGAGTGACCATCCCTGGAGGGATTTAAAAGCCGTGTCTATGTGGCTCTTGGGGACATGAGTTAGTGGTGGCTGTGGCAGTGCTGGGGGAATGGCTGGACTCTGTCTTAGAGGTCTTTTCCAACCTCAGTGATTCCATGACTCTGTGTGCTTCCAAAGCATTGATAAATTGCCACGAGTCCCTTGGTACTTTTGTGCTCCTGGGTTTGTTGTTACCTGGAGAAGAATAACCAGCCTCAAGCTGAGCCTGCCCAGGTGCACAGTGTCCCAAGGGCTCCCTTTGGCACCAAGCTCCCAGCAAATTCCCTCTACACAGCTCCACGTGTGAAATAACCATGTGGGCAGGGAGGGGAGATGGATGATGGGATGGGATTGGAGGAACTAGCACATCCTACCAGATTCCTGGAGATTGCAGCTCTGCCCAGACATTCCCCAGTCTCAGTGTCCCACTTGCACACGGTGTTGTCCCGCGAGCCCGTGCACAGCTGGGAGGCGTCTGCAACCACAAGTCAACATCAAGAACAAGACAGGAAACACTGTCAGCCTGTCCCTGGGGACTGGGAGTTCGTTGTCCCTCACCTGGGCTCACAGCCAGTCCAGTAACAACCAGGTCATGTCCTGGGAAGTGCTGGCTTGGCCCTGAAGTCCCGTGAAGCTCCCACATCATCACTGTCTTGTCCCGGGATGCACTGAAGACTCTGCTGGAGTCAAGGGCTGAGGTGACCTGCCAAGGACCAGAAGGAGAAGCTGCTCATCCTCCCACCCAGCTCACAGGGAGAGCACAACTCTGCTGCTGTCCTGCCACAGCCCAACGTGCAGGAACATGACTGGGGAGAGCCTGGCCTCCCAACTCTGTCCCCTCAGAGCCAGGGATGGTGGATGGGTGCTCTCACGTCTTGTCTGTAGAAACCATTCCTTTTATAGGAAAAACATCCTTACAAACCCAAATGAGCCCAGTGCACAGTTGTTTTGAGCACTGAGGTGAACAAAGCCCCCTTTGTCTTTGCAGTACCCACAGCTCAGGGGAACTGGGGCTGTCCCCTGCAGAGGTGCACTGGCCACACCACGCACAGCTACAGCCCCTCTGCACATATGTCCTCCCAGAAGCCTGCTTGGCTTTGTCATCCCAATCTCAGAAAGGAAATTAAAGCCCTGCTATTCCCAGAATATGCCAGCTACGGCACATGGCATGGGTATTCCCGGAATGTCTCAGCCAGGCGTGGCTGATTTGTGGAATAATGTCAAATCTAGCAGAATGAGGCCTGAAGAAAAGTGAATGGCATCTCTGCATCAGAAGCTTGACCTCATAATTCATCCTGAGCTTTTGCTATACAGTCTCTTGGAAGGGAAGACAAGCTCACATCCAGACCTCCTACAGCCCTGTTTAGTCTGAATGCAACACTCCATTCTGCTTCCAAAAGTATCTGTTGGGACCTTGGGAAAAATTGAATGTGTTCTGATCACAGATTCATGAATCATTAAGTTTGGAAAAGACATTTAAGGTCATCAACCATCCCCAGCTGGACACCAGGAACACTGATCCCACCTTTCTTGTGGATGACAAACCAGTGCTCCAACATTCCTGTCTCCCCAGCTCTCACCTTGGTGACCTCACGTTCATGGCCGGTGAAGCGGTGCAGGACAGCCCCAGACCTCCAGCTGGACACAGCCACACTCTGCAGGGACAGGGACAGGGACAGGGGTCAGCACAAGAGCAGGGCAGGGAGGATATGTCATACCAAGATTTGTGCACAGTCCACAGGACAGGGAACAGGTTCCTCTGGTTTTCAGCTCCCAGAGCATGTACAGCTGTCCTCAAAGACAGGTGATGTAAGAGTCAGTCTGGCGATCCCAAGCCTGGGAGGGAGCATCTGATGTGATATGAGCTCTGGAGAGGTTACAAAATTTGAGTCCTTGTGCTTCAGGGTGTGCCCTCACTCTAAGCTCATTTTTCCTTTCTAAATCCAGGCATCAACATAGCCACCATCCACGGAAATGTTCAAAGCTCACATTTCAACCTTACTTTTGAAGCTGTTGATACTGTTGATATATTATCCTGTCCCAGGGGATGCCTCACCTTATCCCTTCCTCCTGACACACACAGGTCTGGTTTGAGGGCAGCCACAGAGGTGACAGCGTCAGTGTGAGCGGGGCTGTGCTGCCGGGAGGCACCAGCGGGTCCCGTCTGTCCCACGGAGCCGTCGGCCCTGCAGAGGAACAGGGACAGCACTGGGGGCTGCAGGGCTGGGAGGAGAGGTCAGGTGGTATTCCCTGGCACCTCTGACATCTTCTGACAACATCTGCCTTGGAAAGGCAGAGAGATGCTGTGAGTGAGATGGAGCAGACCTATCCCAGCTCCAGAGCTGCTGAATATTTAATTGTCACTCACTCTGTGCTGGTGCAAAGAAGAAAAGAGATTTTGACCTCACCAGCCTCCACAGTCCTCACACGGGTCAGGCTCTGCTGCTCTTTGCTGTGACACCTCCCTGGCCACAAGTCCCCCCCACTGCCACCCCGTGCTGCTCTCCAGGCAGAGAAGCCTCTCCCCGCTGCCAGGGACTGAATTATTTCATCTTGGCCATGAAGGCTGGTGACAGGCTCTGGGGACACAACAAAGCAGTTTGGGTATTTGGGCCACAGAGCCACTCCTGGAGCTGTTCCCCTTCCTCAGCCATCACAGAGCACAACCACTGGCCATGGTTATGTGCTTGGCCACTCCTGTGAGTGACACTTGGGATTTCAGTCCCCCCAAAGAAGCTGAGCAGACTTTATAAGTGAGAGTTAGAAATGAAAACCTGGTTCAAACATCCAATAATGAAACTAAACCCCTGTTCTTGCCATATTCTCTGCTCATTTGTGCTCTCTTCACTCTCACACCTGGTTTATTAAGAAGACCTGATCTTCCAGCATTGCTTTACCTGTATTTGGTGGTGTGGAAGCTGATTTTACTCTGCAGTTTCCCCATGGTCCTGGCAACCAGTGGTGGGTGTCACATCAGCACCTCGAGTACCTGGTGTGGGGACACGACCTGCTGTGGGTGAGGGGACATGGCACCACCAGGGATCCAGAGGGGTTTCTGTTTGTCACACATACAGGATAAAGTGCTGGTAATGTGTTATCTACATCCTAGAGTAAGGAGAAAACCTCAGAGGAGGGGACATCTGGAGGTCCTGAGTGGAACCTTTAGCTTAGAGCAGAGCCAGCAGCAGGGTGGGGTCACTGGGACCTCACACTGAGCTTAAAAATGCCCAAGCTTGGTGAGGCCACAACAGAGATGGAGCTGCTGCCTGTCATTCTTTACACCTCCTGTTACTCCTGGATCTGGTCTGGACTTCCATACATCCTAGAGATCCCAGTGCTTGGCTTGGTGAAGGCAAACACCTTCAGACTGAAGCTCGTACAGCAACTGGTGGGACCACACCACGTGCAGGCACAGGCAGCCCCAGCTCAACTGAGCCAGCCTGGCAATACTTGAAGTGATCTTTCCCTGAGCTGAGGAACACTTTGGGAAAAGTTTCCAAGTCCACACACCAGTTCCAGGCACGGCAAGACCATGTGGATAACCCAGATGCATTCAGGCTGGCTCCTCCCCAGAGGGGTCAGCACAGCCAGACCCTGCAGACCCATCCAGGTGAGGAGCAGCACCTCCCCCGTCCTCTCAGACCCAGCAGAAACCAGTCTCAGTGACAGTGAATTGTCACAGACAATAACTGCTTGCTGCTTAGCTCGAGCCACACTAATTGGATTTAGTCTGCTGGCATGCCCATCTTCCATGGCTGCAGCATTTTGCTAATCAAAATCAGGGAAAAAAAAAACCCAATCTGATTTTTCCAGCAAAAAACTGCTTGAAGGTTCTGCCCACAAAAAAAAGTGAAAACTAAATCCTGGAAGCACTGAGCAAAAGGTTTCTACAGAATTCCCTTTCTAATTTTACCCTGACAGCCTTTGTGATTAGCAATTAATAATACCCAGTTAATCTCCTGCTGTTCTATCCATGAGTTTGCATGTTCCAAAGATGTGAGGAATGATCAATCTCACAGCTATGGGGCTGTGTTAATTTGGCAATTTATTCTTTCAATCAGACTGAATGCCCCAATCATTCCAGTCCATCAAGAAACTGATTTTTCTCGGACAGTGGGAGAACTCTGGAAGTTGCAAAACAAGGCTCTAGGAAGAGGTAAGGCAGGAATTCTGAGTTTTAAATTCTGATGGTTACTGTTTCCAACCAGCAGTTAATACATGTTCATCCCTACCTGCACACCAGCTCACAGGGAGTTGCCCGAGGCCAGGGGAGGCTGCAGGGAAGGTGGGAGCTTTGTTCTGGGTCTCACTGTTCTCCTGCCTCTTCCTCACTGCAAGAAATAACAGATTTTTCTGCATCCTGGATGAGAACAGCACTCAGGCAGGATGTTAATCCAAGCTTTTGCTGTCTGTATCCCAACACACATTTATCCATCAGGCTGCTCCACCACAAAACTCTAAAACTCAGGGATGCTATGACAACTGATCCACACCAAGCTTCACCTCGGCAGCCTGAGTTTCATGCTGGAGGATGCCGTTATCCTCCCTTCCCCCCAAATGCATCACTTGACAGAAACCTTTTTTACTGAATTGCTTTTGAGAATTAAGCCGTGCTGCTGCCTCCACCTGTCCAGGCTCTGCAGTGAAACCTGCACCGTGGGATAAGGAATGTCAAGAACCACAGCAGCAGCACAGGGACCCCAGCAGAGCTGCCCCATCCTCACGGGGGAATAAGCATCCCTTTGAGGAGGGTGTTCGGCTTTGGGGAGAATGGGGGAGATATCCTGGTTCCTGGAGCTGGGTGTGACCCACAGAGGTGCTGGCAGGTCTCTGTGGATGGGAGTGATCCTGTGGGGTTAAATGGGAGCATCCCGGCTCTCTGTGGATGGGGGTGGCCTTGTGAGGGTCAGTGGGAGCATCCTGGGTCCCTTGGGATGGGGGTGTCCCTGTGGGGACAATGGGAGCACCCCGGCTCCCTGTGATGGGAGCGTTCCGAGGGAGCCCCTCAAGCGCCATGTGCCGCTGGCAGGGGCGAGGCGGGGCAGCCCTCGGGAAAGGTTTGTGAGGAAAGATTTGTGAGGAAAGGTTTGTGAGGAAAGGTTTGTGAGGAATCGCGTCCCTGCTGGGGCAGCCCCGCGGCCCGGCCCGGCCCGGCCCCGCCGCGCACTCACCCTCACCGGCCCCGGCGCCGTCCCGCCCGTGCCACCGCCCGCCGCCGGCTCCCGGCGGGGC